AGTATATATATATATATATATATATATATATATATATATATAAGAGAGAGAGATAGAGAGAGAGAGAGAGATTACCAAAGACATACTTGTCCAAGCTCTTGTTGGGCAAATATTCATAGACCAACATCTTCTCCCCTCCTTCCACACAGCAACCCAGTAGCAAGACCAGGTTCCTGTGTTGGACTTTTAACAACAATTTGATTTCGTTGACAAATTCCCTTAACCCTTGTCTTGATTCAAGTGATAACTTCTTCACTGCAATTTCTTGACCATTTTCCATCCTCCCCTTCAAAATGCAAAACCCATCCAATCAAATCTCACAATCAGTTTATTCCACTCGCACAATATTTCAAATGTGACAGGACCGACAACATAAAAAATGAACCATCACAATTGAAAGGGTGCTTCAAATTTTCAAAAACATTAAAAATGAACCATTGCAATTACTGAAAAAATTATGGGTGATAATGTATGCTTCAAATTTTGAAATTCAAAGCAAGCATGTAATTCAAGAAAGCAGGTTCATATTTGGTGAATCCCAACTCATCAAATCCCATGAAGTTTGAAAGCTTCGGCAAAATTTGGCCAAAAACTTCACGAAAAGAAAATCCTGGCCTTTCAGCTGAAAGCAAATTCACTAAAAGTCAGCTTTTGCCTGTCTACTGAAAGTTCTACGTGTCTAGAAACATGTGGAACAATGAATACCAAGGTCAAAGCACGGTTAGCAAATGGCCAAGTGGCGATAAATCTATCAGAACCCGTATTAGTCCAGCTGTGGTAGAAGAAAATGAATTGACAGAAAAGCCAAAGAGTGACAAAAAATTTGAAAAACAGGTGAATATTTTGGGTTTTCCCTCAAAATCGAAACCAAAATTTGGTATATGTATATGCTTTTTTTTTTGGAGAATTTGTCTTGTGAGGAATTAAAAAGAAAAAGAAAAAAAGAATTGAAGTAAACCAGAGACATGTTTTCCGAATGTCAGTAATCAAGTGGTAGAGCAGACCTTATCATTTTTTGGAGGTAGAAAAACTCATTTGATAAACTAAAATTCAGGCTAAAATAGCAAAGCATGAATACCAAGTTTTATGAATAGGTAGCTATGGAAGATCAAATGCAAGATAAAAGTAAAAATTGTAAAGAGAGAGAATCAAATGAAATAGATACCAAGTAAGTAATTTTAATTTCATTTTAACTTCTGTTTTCCTTTTTTTTGGATAATGATATCACTGGCATAATATCAGAGGGGTATATACTGTTTTTTTCAAGAAAAAAAAAAAAAAAAAAATTGTAAAAAAAAAAAATTGCGCATTCTCAAACGATGGTTTTTCCTTTTCCTCTTGAAAGAATAAAGTTTTAAATGGAGAATTCCTTAAATTCAGGCCGATATTTGGTGGGAAGACGAGAAGTCTTAACGGAAATTTTATCCAAAATTTCAGTAGATCTCGCTCCCAAAAACATGAGCCATGGAGTCCTACGTTCAAGTTTACGCGGCCTTAAAGTCACCGGAAAACCAGATTTTCACCGGAAAATTTCAAACTTTTTTTGCAGTAAAATCAGAAAGAATTTTCTCTACAATTACAAGAGTTTGCACTTTGCAGTGAGAAAATACCTTATAAACGGGGCCAAAACCCCCTTTTCCAAGCCTATTATCTTCTGAGAAGTCATTAGTAGCAGCTTTTAAGGTGTTTAGATCAAAGAACAAGCTCCAAATATCTTCTGCAACTTCATCATCACCCTCTTTCTTTCTCGTCCATTTCTTCCAATCAAGCCACCCACACATTCCGGCAAAAAACTCCACTGTATTTCACGCAGAAAATAATCTCAAGAATATCAGCTCAAAAATGATGAAATTCACTTCTCTTTTCCTTTTCCCTTGCCCACTAACTGAAAATTAATGGAGAAAAGAGTGTGCAATAACAAAAGGTAGAGCTCCCTTTTCCAGCTCTTGAGTCAATGCTTGACTTCGACACCGACTCCAGGGTTCAGTTCAGGTCATTAATGGTGAAAATCACGCCCTTTTCTTTCTATTTAATGGAGAACTGAAATTTATTGAAAAAAGTGACCAGCACAGGGAAGGAAATGACAAGAAATAGGACCCCCTTCTTGGTGCTCCGGAAAAACGGCTCGCCGGTGATTCCAGGCTCGAGTTCCGGCTATTGATGAAGTTTCCGGCCAAAATATCGGCAATCACATGTATTTAAAAGATCGCCAAGAACTCTAATCAAATTCCATGGTCTGAATTTTCCGTCGAGGGTGGTTCAGGCAAAGAAAGGAGCGAAGGATGCTCCGAGTTTCGCCATTTGACAGGCCGCGGAAAACGTGCAGAGAAGAGAGAAAAGCCTGAAATTGTTGGCAAAAGAAGAGCCTGAAATTGTTGGCAAAAGAAAAGCCTGAAATTGTTGGCAAAAACAGAGGAAAGACGAGGAAGAGAAGAGAGAGCAGGGTAGAGCCGATAATAGCCCGTAGTGAAATGACCAAAAGTAAACGTACGTAAACAAATTTTCTCTGGAAGAGACGTAAAGCCCGGTCTTTCCTTGAATATAGGAAAGAAGTTTATTTATATAAGGTTGCAACTTTATACTAAGACTTCACGTAAAAAATCCCTACAGGAGGAGAGTGTTCCGCCGTAGGATGACCCTCCAACTTGGACCTTAAGATGAATAGGCGTCAAGAAAAAAAAAAGCACGTTTTTTAGACCGTTTATTTTTAAGAGTTTTAAGTGTTTCTTGATCGGCTCGATCCGTACCATTTTTCAAAAGGTGCGGTTTGTTTGGAGCTTAAGCTCTACGTAATCAAATTAGAATCCACCTTCAAATAGTGTCGAGAAATGTGGTTTCGATACTGAAAATCTTTGACTAGCTTTAAAATATATTTTTATCTTTAATTATTAAATTTAGGGTGTGGTTTATATAAGGTTGCAACCTTAAACAATCCAATTAAGGTGGGCCTCCATATTTTATCATAATATATAATTTTGGTGTAAATGTTTTTTAGGATTATCTCAAAATCTATTTTCATATCTAATTATAAAGTTTTAAACTCTAAAAATGGTTAAAATGAAGTGGATCTATAAACATGAGAAAATCTTGAAAATGGACAATCTAGATAATGTGTTGCAAGAGACACGATTTTTTAACTTAAAATATATATTTTTTAATATTCATACATCGTGATGTCGAGATGATCAATTAGAGGGTTGAAAAACATTAAAACAACTGTTTCCGATGGATTTTTGAGGTGCATCTGTGATTCTACATTTTAAGGTTGCAACCTTATATAAATGTTTTTTAAAAATTTAAAGCTTTAAAAATAGTGTAGATCGAGCATATTTATGAAAACTTGAATAACTTAAAAATTGACTGTCCAAAAATACGTTGCAAGATGCACTATTTCAAAACTTAAAATCCATTTTTTCTCAAGTCCATGCATCTTGATGATGAGATGATCAATTTGAAGATATTTAGATATCAAAATCTCTTCAAGTGAAATTTTTGAAGTAAGCTCTAATTTAATTGTTTAGAGCCTAGGCTCTACATAGACTTTTCCCTTTTTCAAATTTTAACTTTTATGAGAAAGAGATTTTGATGCTATCATAAGGTTTGGCGCCGAAACGACATTTCTAAGTAATTTTCACCTTACTTCTATAGTAAGGCAACCTCCACCGTATACGAACCTCACCCTTTAATATTGACCATTTAATTTTCAGCTCTGAAGATCTAATCATCATTTAAAGTAGAACACAAAAAGTCAATATCTTTCGGATTAGCATTTTCGTTCGTGAGAGCAAGCGAATAATGGAATCCAGTAGGAACATAGTTTTTACAAAAAGTTCAATGTCTTTCGGACTGGCAATTTCGTTCGTGAGAGCAAGCAAATAATGGAATCCAGTAGGAACATAGTTTATACAGGCTTCCAAAACCCGTGTTTAAAATGAATCGCGGCGATTCGGATAGAGAATCGTCGTAGCCCGAAATATAGTTTATACCAATGGTTTAAAAAACGGATCAGTGATCCGGATCGGGCTTCTAAAAAATTGATCCGGATCGGCGAATCGACGATTTGGATCCGTCGATCCGGATCGAGAATCGGATGAATCGATCAGAATAAAGCTTTAAAAAAATTCGAAAAAATTATTAAAATTCATTATAAATATTATTTTTTAAGAATTCAATAAGAAATGAGGGTACTCCATTAAGAATTTTCATGTTTTTGAATGAATATGTGAATATTGATATGTTCTTTCCCTACATGAACCGCCATTCAGCATTTAATTTACATCACACAAAAGGATAAACATATAATTATCATGGAATAAGTATATCAACATACATGGACTACAATAAAGCATAAAATTAGTAACATATGATCTAAAAATAAAATGATAGACGACGTCATTGTTCTTCTTGGTCACGCTGGTGCCATTGATTGAATTCGTTTAACAATTCATTGATTCGATCTAAAAATGAATCATCGATATTAGCAGGCGTCTGACTATTCCCAATCCCTGAGTGTTAGTGTTTTGTTGTGTTCCCAATCTAAAATCCCCGAAGATTGTCCATCCTTCATGCTTACCTGCACTGTCGTTCTCATCCCAACACTGTTGCTGTTGGGACTAGATATGTGAATAATATGGCTGAGATAGGGTGGCCTCAGAATCATCATCTCTCTCATTTTCTCTTTGAATAATATGGATTACAAAAAAAATTTCAAAAAAAAGATCATGGATTAAAAAAAAAAATCACAAATTTTCAAAAAATTCTATCATGGATTACAAAAAAAATTCGATCATGGATTAAAAAAAAAAATCCCAAATTTTCAAAAAATTCTATTATGGCTTACAAAAAAAAATTCGATCATGGATTACAAAAAAAAAATCACAAATTTTCAAAAAATTCAATCATGGATTACAAAAAATTCGATCGTGGATTACATAAAATTCGATCATGGAATACATAAAATTCGATCATGGATTACAAAAAAAAACAAACAAAAAAAAACAAAAAATTCAATCGTGGATTACAAAAAAAGAAAAAAACAATTCGATCATGGATTACAAAAAATTCAATCATGGGTTACAAACAACTCTATCATGGGTTACAAAAAAAGCAAAAAAAAAAAATTCGATCATGGATTACAAAAAAAAAACAAACATTTCGATCAT